GCAAGTGGGCAGAAAATGGTCAAAAGGTTTTTTTTACTGGACCTCAAGAATAAAAATTTCCACTGTTGGGGCGCTGGGGGAACAACTTTCCTCACGGCCCAAAAGACTATTTCCTCGAAGAGGAGCAAAGTTTGGGCACTGTTTTCTCCCCCTGTTTTTCTTCATTATCGGGGAATAATCTTTTTCTAATTGGGATCTTCGAAGAAATTTTCGTGGGGCCTTTGTGGACACATTGTTGCTGTGATGTGGTTACGAGGAGGGTGCTTGTGTCACCGTGGTTTTAGAACGTGTTTTTTAGACGATGTTGTGGATAGTTTGTAAAGGTTCAGGCAGATTCAGAGGAGGACGGGATGTTTTCCGAAGTAGAGTATCCGATAGTGGGAATCCTCTACCTTCAGGTCATCGGCATCTTTCCCCGGCCAAACGGCACCCTCAAACCAATCTCCCCCAATATATATTGAGGATGAAGCGCCGCCTCCCTACAGTGCTCAGTGAGTAAATCCACCAAGATACTTAAGATCGACCCAGTGTAACAGTGAACAGACCTTCTAAAGAATAAGACACTTACTAACACAGACATTAGTTAACTAATCATGTTGTTGGGAGACGACAAATGACAAATATTGTACTTTGGGGAAAGATAACACAATACCAAGAAGACAAACCTTTGTGACTTCCGCCAGAACTTTCTTGATGTTCATTCTGATAACCTTATCCGTGAAGGGTTTCGTGATGATTTTGATGAAATCTTGGTTTTCTCCAGAAGATTTGCCCACACCTTTCACTATAATCTCGCTGAGAAACCTTATCGGATGGAAGAGAGCTTCCAATGGGAGGAACACTGCAACACACAGCCAGTTGAAGCAGTCGTGAACTGGAAATTGTTGAGCGTTATTAATTGATTATTTGTAATTTCATCATAGTACCAAATACAATTGCGTATTCTGAATAAACTTCAAACTTTTAGTCAATAAAGAATTGTATTTAATGATCTAAACTTTGTACCTGTCGCTCCTGCAAAGGATCTACGGAATTGTTTCCTGTCCATTGATTGTCCCATACTGACAATTGTATTCGTCACTGTTGTCCCAATGTTTGCCCCCATGATTATGTTTATTGCTGGAGTCAACTCCAATACTGCCAAACATTATCGGTGAACTTCAAAACAAGATTCGGACTACTTCTATGAAATCAAACATTGATGTTTTAAAACCGAAACAAAATTTACAAACAGCGTTAATAGTTGAACAAAATTGATCAAACTCTAACTGTCTAAGTGAATACAGTGTTGAATGAAGCTCAATACTGACACCAATCATAGCACCGGTAAAGGTCGAGGAGCTCTGAAACGATACCCGTCACGTTCATTTTCACATTCACTCTCACTCTCATACTCTTTCACTTTTACTTACTGCCGGCGGCGATCATAGCGACTATGATACTAGTAGAAGTAGAGGAGCTCTGAACTAATACTGTCACCAGAACACCCAACATTAGTCCAACTATAGGGTTACTCATGATTGAGCCCTGGGAAAATGCCTGGAGGATACAGGTCGGTTAATAACAGCATGTAGCTAAAAAGTAAAATCTGATATTACCATGAACCATGGGAATTGCAGCAATATGTATAAATATGATTCCATGGTTTGATTCACGACAAACCGATAAATCCTCTAATTTTACTTACAGCCCCAGCAGATTTGCCCCGACTAACTGGAACGCAGCAGAAAAGGAATGTTAGAGAGTTAATAAAGAGGTAGATACACAGGAATGCAAACAGGATCCTCCCTATAATCCACAAAACTGAGCCAATTCTTTGTAATTCCGTCTTTTCTTGAAAGTATGTAAATTGGGTTTATATTTGCGGATAAAACCACCAAGGGCAAAAAATAAAATAAGTGGGGTGGTTATATAATGAAGTGGGTCAATGGGTTTTTCAACCACGTCAGTAAAAAATTCTAGAAAATTTTCATTAATTTTTTTTTGCCAGGGTCTTTAAACGGATTTTTGGAAATTTTGATTATCTCGAGGTCAAAATAACATAATAATTTAAAAACTGAAGAGCAAAAAAAAAATTTTTAAAAGCCTTTTTTAAAATTTTAATTTTAAAAAAAAAAGGTTTCCAAACTGGTTTACCAAAGGGGGGGTTGTTTTTACTTTTAAATGGGGCCCAAAAATTTCCCCAGAAAATTTTTAATAACCCATGCTTGGAGGGGGGGGGAATTAGAAAAAGCTGTTGATTTTTTCTGTTTTAAAAAACTATTAAAAAACCAAAAAAGGGTATCCTAAAAACTGTATAAATTTTTTCCTGAAATAATTTTTTAAATAAGGGGGCAAGATTTTTTCCCCCCGGGGGAACCCCCCCGGGGGGAACTTTAAACTCCAAACCCCTCCCCCCTTTTAACCCCAGGGGTAAAAACCACCCCCCCAAAATTTTTCCTTTTTTTTTGCTCCTCCCCCCTTTTTTTCCCCCCAAAAGGGGGACTTTCCCCCTTTTTTTTTTCCCCCCCGGGGGGCCCCCCCAATTCTTTAACGTGGGCCTTACGTGGGGGGCCCCGTTTTTTTAACCTGCGTTTTTGGTTTTCTCCCCGTCGGGGGCCGTTTTACTTTCCCCTTGTAAACCTTTGCTTTTTGGTTTTTGGGGGGTGGAAAACCAGAAAAAGGGGGGGGAAAAGGGGAAAATTTTTTTTTTGAAAAGGGGGGAAAAAAAAAAGGGGGGGAAAAGTTTTTTTCCTCTAAAAAAAATTTGGGGGGGGTTTTTCCACTGCTTTTTTTTTCTTGGGGGGAAATTTTAATTTATTTACCGGGCCTTTTTTGGTTAAAAATTAACCCCGTAAAAATTTTTAATTTTTAATTTTTTAAAAAAAGTTCGGGGGTTTTAAAAAGGGGCCCCCCTTTTCTTGGGGGAACCAAATTTTTAAAATATGTTTTAAAGTTCCTATAGGATTGTAAAAAAAATTTTAATAATTTTTTAAAAAATAAAGGGGGGGCTAGAATTTGAAATTTTTTAAAATATTTTTGGTTTTTTTTTTGGGAAAAAATGCTAAGGGGCCAAAACGAAAAGGGGCATTTTTTTAGCAAATAAACCGCCCCCAAAAAAAACGGGTTTTAAAAGGGATCATCGGTTTTTTGTTTTTATAGTTAAAAAAAAATTTGAGTTTTTTTGGGGCCGTCGTTTTTTTTTGGCGGGGGGGAAAAATTTAAAATTTAAAAAAATTACAAAGGGGTTTGGGGAGGTTTTAAAGTTTTTTTAAGCTCGAAAATAAACTTTTTTGGGGGGAATTTTAAACACCCCCAAAGCAAAATTTGTTTCTTTTAAATTTCTACCTCAAAAATTTTAAACGGGATCTGAGTTTTTGGTTTTTGGGGTTTTTTTTTTTTATCAAAAAAATTTGGGAAAATTTAAAAAAAAAACCTTTTGGGGGGGAAAATTACTGTTTTTTTTTTTTTTTTTTTTTTCTGAAAAAAACCCCCCCCAAAAAATAACAAAAATTTTTTGTTTTTTTTATTTCAATTTCCTTTTTAAAATTTTGGGGGGGTTTTTTTTTGGGGGGGGCCCTTTTTCATGGGGTGCCTCATGTATTAAAAAAAAAAAAATATTTTTAATATACTTTACGGGGGGTTTTTTGAGGGAAAGGGGGGTGTTTTCCACATTTTCGGGGTCCCCTAAAAAGGGCCCAGGGTTGTTTGGGGGAACTCCCGTTCCTTTACTTCCCCCCTTTATAAATTCGGGGTTTCCCCCACCTTTTTTACCTTCGGGGGTTTTTTTTTGCGCTCTAGATCTAGTCGAGGATTTTTTTTACTGGGAAAATTTTTTGAGCTTTTTTAATTCTTGTTCTTTTTTTCTTGTTGTGGAAAAAAATTTCCGAATGGGGGCTTTTTTTAAAATTTGGGGGGAAAATTTGGGGTTTGTTTAATTTGGGGGGTTTAAAGGGGGGCCCCAAAAAAAAGGGGGGGGGGAAATTTTGAAAAGATTTTGAAAAAATTGTAAAATTTTGGCCCCCATGGAAAAATTTGCCGATAAATCCAAGTATGATTTTGGATAAAAAAAAAATAAATTTTAAACCCAAGGGGGGGGGAATTAAGGGGTCCCCAGAAAAGTTTTTTTGGGGGGAGGGTAGGGAAAAAACAAAAAAAAAAACCACACGGTTTTTCCTTAAAACCAAAAACCCCGGGGGATTACCATGACCCCACCAAAATTAATTTTTTTAAAAAAAAAACTTTAAGGGTTTTTTCATGGGGGGGGTTTCAATGGCCGGGTTTTTAAAAGGGCCCCCTTGAAAAAACTAGGGTTTTTTTATTTTCCAGTAAAAAATTTTTTTGCTGGGCAAAGGTGGTTTTTTAAATTTTAAAATCCACCGGTACCCCCCCCAAAACTTTTTATCGTCAAAAGGGAAAAAAATTACATGGTACTGGGAAAAACTTTCGGAACAAAAAGGGGGGGCGGAAAAAGAATAGGCCCCCCACCTTTTTCCTAGTTTCCTTTTTTTTGGCATCCCATGGTTTCCGATTCCCCAAAGGGCCCCCCAAAACGTTTTTAAAATCGGGGGGGGGAAAATTTCATTTTGGTTTCGAGGGGGAAAATTTACTTTTTTTTTAAAATGAAAATTACTTTTGGGGTTTTTTAAACCAGTTGTTAAAAAATTTCAATATTGCCCCGCTCCCCCACTAAAACCGGGTTTCCCCCACCCTTTAAAGCTCAGTGGGTTTTTAACACATGTATGGGGGGGGATTTTTATTTTCCCGATTCCCACGATGTAAAAACCCCATCAAAATTTTAAGTGTAAGGGGAACCAATTTTTTTTCCAAAGTAAAATTTCCCCTTTTAGAGGGTTCACGAAAAACCGACTCACAAAAATTGAAATTTAAAAAAGGGGTCCCCACAATGGGGCCCCTTTTTTGGGGACAAAAAAAAAAAAAAAACCGGGGAAAAAATTGGGGCGTTTTTTTAAAAAAATTTCCTAGGGGGGGGAAAATGGTTTTAAACAAAATTAAAAATTTTTTAAAACTAAATTTTTAAGTTTTAAAAAGTTTATTCTAAAAAAAACCGATGCGCTTTTTTTGGGGGGTTTCCCGGGTTTGGTCTTTAATGTTACAGTGCGGGCCCCCAATTTTCCAATATTGGGGGTAGCATTAAAACAAGAAAAAACCCCCCCCCCCAAAAAAAACCCCCATTAATTTTTTAGTTTCCCTTTTTTTAAAAACAAAACAAAAAAAACTTTTAAAAATTTTTTTTTGTAAACTTTACCCCAAATTTTCAGCGGAAAACTTTTTTATTTTTTTTGATTTTTTGGGGGGAAAAGGCCCCTTTTGCCATTTTTTTGGGATAATGATGAAAAACGAAAAAAATTTTTTTTAAGTTTTTTCCCCAAAGAAAAAAAAAATTTTTTTTCCAATTGGGGGGAAACCAACTTCTTATAGTTAATTTAATATACAAGGGAAATGGGGGGCCCCATTTTCGGGATTCTTCGGGGGCCCCCAAAGAACTTTTTTTTTCCTCCAATTTCGATGGGTTTTTGGGAAAAGGGGGAAAAAAAAAAAAAAAAAACTATGATCCCCCCTTTTTTTTAAGAGGGGAAAAAAAAATTTTTCCCCATTTTGGCATTGTTTTTTGCCTTTACCCCTAAGGGGGAAAAAGTAACTAGGGTTTTTTAACCCGGCTTTAAAAAACTTTTTAGGGTTTAAAAAACTTTTTTTCAAAAAGGGGCACGTTACCGTAACCCTTTTTCCCTTTTTTTTAAGGGGTACCAAAAAAAAAGGGAAATTTTTTTTAAAAATTTTTGTTTTTTAAATTCAAAAAAAAAATTAGGGGTGCCCGAAGGGGGGTTAAATACTGAAAAAAAACTAAAAAAGCTTTTTTTCTTTAATCTTGCTGTAAGCAGTGGGGGAGGGCCAGGCGAAGGGGCAGTTAAAAAAAAAAATTTTTTTTAAAAAATTTTTTTGGATCAAGAAAAAAAATTTCAGAAAAAAAGCAAAAGGACAAAACCCCCCCCGGGGGGAATTTTTGGGTGGCTTTTTTTTCCTTCATTTTAAAGGTACGTACCCGTTTTTACCCCCCCTTTTTTCCTTTATTTTGGGGGCCCGATTTTTTTCGGTTTTTCCCAAAAAATTTCGCGGGAAAAGGCCAAAATTTAAAACCTTTTTTGTCTTTAAAAAAAAAATTTTTTTTTTCAAACACTTTTGGGGTTTTTAAAATTTAGTGGGGGATTTTTTTAAATTTTATTTTTTAAAAATCGGGGAAAAAAGGGGTCAAAGTTTTTTGGAATTTTTGAAAAAAAAAAAATAAAAACAAATCGTTTTTTTAAAATGCTTTTTTTTTTGCCGGGGGGGCACGTTAGGGCCTTCAATAGCATTTGACAAAAGCCCCCCCAAAAAAAAAGGGGGGAAAAAAATTTTTTAAAAATCTAAAATTTTGGCAAAAAAAACGATTTTTATAAATAAATTAATCTTAAAATTTGGATAAAAAAAATTTTAAAAAAAAACCAAAAGGGGGGACCAAAAAATTTTGTATCTTTAAAAAAAAGCCTGCCTTACGGAGTTTTGGGGGTGAATAAAAAGGAGAGGGTTCCCCCGGGAAAAGGGGGGGGGACTGTATCATTTTTTACCACAGCTGGTGCGAATAAAAATCAGCTTTTAAGACAAAGGAAACATATACTGAAAATGGGGGTAGATGAAGTGCCGCAGTTGCAACGTGACTGG